TTTCATGAAACTTGAACCAAAATATCTAAAATATGCCTTTTCTTTCTATTTTCAATCAAAAATCACTTAAATTTGATAAGGAAAATAAGTACAAAAATGGACTTATCACAATGCCCTCGAGAAATCGTATTGCCTAGATGGTTAGAGAAAAATAAGGATCGAGGTATTCTAAACGGTACTCGAATGTTATTTGCGCTAAAATTACAACCAAAGTTGACGTATTTAATAGATTCGATGTCTTTCAAAATTACGCCCTTCGTCTATTAAAATTTTTCCAAGTTGACCGACATGTAAAATAATTATGTAAAAACTGTATACTTAATATTTTTGAATAGGAAAAAGAAATAACATGAACCGTAAATTAATTGATTAACATGAAACTGACAAATTTATTGGGGCAATAAAAATGGGAAATTTCCCAGGATATGATTAAAACTCAATGAGTTTCCCAATATATGACTTAACTAGTTTTTAGACTTTTGTATGACCTAAAATCCAAAAAAAAAAATTCGTTTATATTTAAAGGTTGAATGATGAAAATACCCTTACATAAAACATGTGAATTTTGTATTAATTTCGTTCAATTAAAATTACTGCACTTTATATTTCTGTTACTGCACGTCATTAATGCACGACATTACTGCACGATATTATTGCACATTCGGTAATAATCATTGCTCTTCCGAGCAAAATTAATTCTCTTCTCATTCACTTTAGAAATTTATTTATAGTTTTTATTTTGTATTTTTTATTTTATTTTTATTTAAAATTTTATTATTTTACATCTAAAAAAAGTATATTGCATTTCATGACGACATTATTGTCCTATATTACTACATCTATTCACTGCACAACAAACTTGCTCAATGCATTCAATTTATTGCCTTGCACAATAGAGAGTATTATTTATTATCATATTCACTATCATATTCAACGATTAGCATGTTCGATGTCAATGTTGAATGTCATGTTCGAAAAAGTATGTCAACAACAACAATCCATCTTTCAAAACTCACAATTTCACATACGAGTATGTAGCAAATCATTTTCTTTTATAATTTTCAAAAATTTCAATAATAATAACAGAGTTTCAAACACAACACCCAAAGCCTTCAACCTGAAAAAAAAACGATTGCTGCCAACGAATTTGCCAGAGTTTCAAACACAACCCAAAGCCTTCAATCAACAACCCTCAACTTAAAATTGCTGCAAACGAATTTGCCTCCATCGACCACGAATCTCGACGAATCTGCCTCCATCGTCTCAAGGGCGGAGCCAGGACACTGGGCCGGACTGAGCCGGTACAAAGAATATTTTTGAAAAAAAATTACATAGAATTTTTTACACTAAAAATTTAAACATTTTTAAAATTTGGGCTGGGCCAGGGCCAGGGGTGGCCACCCCCTAGCTACGCCCCTGATCGTCTTCCAATCCGGACGAATCTGCCTCCGTATCCTACCAGCGGGCCAGTGGCCGCCCACCAATCGCCACTCACGAGAGCAAAGAAGACATCGCCCAACAATTGCGTGTCGCCCACAGGTTTGGAGCTATGATGATCGATCAACTGATCAATTAGGGTTATATAAAAATAGGTTAAGGGCATAGTAGTCCAAACAAATTATTTATTAATTAATTTATTAAATACATTATTTAAATATTACGAATTAAATAATATTTAGGTAAAAAACTAAATAGGTCATAGATTGGAAAAGTGGAGTAGTTTTAGTCATATGTAGGGCAATTATCTCATAAAAAATTACTTGCTTAAAATAGTACTATCTCTGTTCTCTTTTATTTGCAACATTGGACTTTTTGCACTATTCACATATTCTATTTTGAATTTTCTTTTATTAATTGATGTATTATAAATTAAATTTTTAAAAAATATTTTTAATTCCTCTCATTTTAAGTTTTCAAAATCTATTTTGTTTTAATTTTTTTACTAATAAGAAATGAAAGATATTAATAGTCAAACTTGTGTCTTGGCAAGCGTGAGAAGTGGACCATTGCTATTAAAAAGGAATGACTGAAGTATATTACACCAACATGAGAAAGCGGTCCAGCTCAGCTGATCACCAACTCACTCTCCCTTATGGGAGGTCTCGGGTTCAAAACTCAATTGAATGAGTTTCAGTCCAGTTTACTCCAGGCCCCCTCAAACCCCCTCCCCCAGACGCCCCTGGAGTAGAAAAAAGGTATATTACACAAACCTTTACCAAATTTTCAATGGCATTACACCAACTTAAATTGGCTATTGAATGTACTTAACTTTATTATAAGACTTTGAAAGCTAATACTCTCTCCGTCCCAACTGAAAGTTCTAACTTTCCTTTTTTGGTCGTCATAGTAAAGGTTCTCATTTCTGATTCAGGAAATAATTAGGAGCTTCTTCCCGAAATAATGCTAATTAAATAAATAATTCCTAAAATACTGTTGAGTTAAAAATAATTCCCAAAATACTGCTGGGTTAACCGTGGTTAAGGAAAGCCGCCACTTGAAATGATGGTTCTTCTCTTACAGTACAAAAGCCGCTACTCCAAGTGGCGGCTCTTCTCTTACAGAACATTTTATACATATATCAAACACAACATGTTTCAAGAATTTGTTTAAATATCTTCTCGATAGAATTTTAAGCTGAACTTTGGTATGAATAAACTAGACTTGATGAGGAACATTCTCAAGAAATTTCATCAAAAAATTCCACCGGGAAGACAATCTGATGGTGTTGTCCACACGGGGTCCTGGTCAGGACGTCATGAAGGGAATGAGACATTTTTATGAAATTTAAGGTGCTTCCGAGTCGAATTTTTTAATGACATTTAGTGATCATGCTCTTTCTAAAGTATATGTTATGTTCAACGAATTTTAGATTAAAATTAAATCAAGAAGTTAGTTAAATTATTTATTGAAAAAAACTGCAATTTTAGGCCTAAACAAGTGTGCAATTTTCAAAAAAATATTTAACTAACTTCTCGATTAAAGGAACTAAATTCAGATTCGAGCTATCACTGCCATCATTATGCCCTTACAAACAATTCATTCTCTTCCACTTACTAAATAAATATGAACTCTCTTTAGGTAGTTTATGACCATTGGAAACAGTTTCAACACCCACATCAACTTTAGCAACCGGTACTATTGCTCTAAGTTCCAATTGCAGAATCACAGTTTCGCCCAATTTAATTGAGCTCGTGTCTGGAAGGCAATGATAAATTCAAATTCAGAGTGTAATCTAGAGAAGCATGTGTAATCCTACAAAATACAAATTATTGATAGAAATGCTCAAAGTAATGTAAAAATGGAAATGCATATCACATATAACACATGCAGCTAAAACATATGACTTATGGACAAATTATTATGAAACAATAATAAATTATAAAATATTGCTACCGGGAAATAACATACCAAACGATTTATTTGCATAACTTATAAAATTATCTTGGCACAAATTTTGTCTCGTGCCTTCTGAAAATGTTCATGTAATGTAGGCCTAAAAGTTGCAATTTTAGGCCTCTTTCATTTGAGCTATTTTCGGGTCGAATTTTTTGATGAAATTTCGTGAGAATGTTCCAATGGAATGTAGATTATGTCCACCAAATTGCAGATTAAAATTCAAAAATCGGGAAGTTAGTTAAATAAATTGTTAAAAATTGCATAATTTTTTAGGCCTAAAAATGCAGTTTTTCAATAATTTATTTGACTAAATTCATGATTTAATTTTAATATGAAATTTAGTGAACATAACATACACTTTAGGAAGAACATGATCATACCAAATTTCAGCTTAAAATTCTATCAGGAAGATAGTTAAACAAATTCTTGAAACATACTGCGTTTTATATATGTATAAAAAGTGATGTAAGAGAAGAGCCGCCACTTGGAGTGGCGGCTTTTGTACTGTAAGAGAAGAGCCGCCACTTCTTCAAGAGGCGGCTTTTCTTAACTTAGCAGTATTTTGGAAATTACTTTTAACTTAGCAGTATTTTGGGAATTATTTATTTAATTAGCATTATTTCGGGAAAAATCTCAACAATTAGAACTTTTTTATGATAATTTAATCATCAAATATTAAAAGTAATACTCCGTATATGTATATATATACTCCCTCCGTCCCAAAAACAACTTCCCACTTTCCTTAAATGGATGTCCCAAAATTAACTTCACACTTCAATACTTTCCTTATTTGGCAAATTATCTACATAAAAAAAGTGATAAACAGTGCCAAACAGTGCCAAACAGTGTTTAAACAGTGCCAAATAGTGTTTAAACAGTGCTAAACAGTGCACTCTACAGTAAAGTCAAATTTATTTCCTAAAAGTGTGTGAAAGTCGAACCGGGAAGTTGTTTTAGGGACAGAGGGAGTATATATTAACTCACTTAAGTCATTTTCCGGCTCATGACTGGGACACTTTTGTAAATGCGCTACCCATTCTATTATTCCGAATAAACTCTCGCAGTCTTGTGTATTCTATCACTCAGGCGGAGACTCCAACATCTATGAACACACTCGCAGAGTGAACCTGGACTCTCAAGTAGAGCTTTGTTAATTTCGAACGATTTCACATTTATCCCACATCAACACCAAACGAGGGAAATTCCCTAGAAGACATTAATCATTTTTCAGCGCTTACAATTGAACAGGATAATCATTGCCGAAAGCCGGCAACCAGGCGATGGCAGACATTCGCAATCTGGAAATTGCAGAGCCGAAGGGTCCACTACAAACAGCGATAGAAGCGTCGATTGGGGATACCATCGTTGTTCCAGTAGCAGGTATCATTATCATTAGGTAGGTAGCGTTGATTCCGGCGGTTAAGAGGGTGCCAGAATTCCATAGGTTGTTCTAAGATGTCGTTGGATTTCTAGAGAGACGGAGGAGATTCTCTCTCTTCATTTTTTATAGCCAGTAGCTTTGTTACTCCGTATCAGAATTTTGACCCTGCCTGATTGTTACTAATAAGGGAAATTCCTCCGACAAGGGTGTGCTGTTGCCATGTGTGGATTGTTCCTAACCAGGGAAATTCCTCCGAACCCTACCTCATTGAAGAAGAGGTACAATTCTTATTAATTCCTTATTGTTTACTTTACTTTGCATTGCCTTTGGTTACATTTCTGATTGAAAAAATCGATATGATAAAGCATATAAAATCTGCTTGAATGTATATAATAGCACTTGAAATGAATAAAATACTTAACTTTTCAACAGATTGTATATCAAACATTAAAGAATAAAGTTTTTACTGAAGTAGTTTATACTTTGCCTTTTTCTCACTATGGCTTTTTCTTGATTTTTTTTAAATTTTTTAAGAGGATACTAAGTAAACCTGACATTGCTCTTTTGGATCTGAATTCTGAAATTGAAATATAATTTGTGTAGTAGGACAAACATTAGCTAATTTGATCTTATGGCTTTTTGCTCTAGCACTTCTGATAAATGTTTAGATAATTAGGCCACACATTAGCACTGATCATGGTTGATGGTTGTTACTTTCTTGGATGTGAAAGACGAACATTCATAGTCATAGATTCAACTGTGATCCTTAGTATGATTAATTAGTGCAGTTCGTTTTGGCACATTTCGTTGACTGCTATTAAGTATTAACTATATGGCTTCAGGTTCAATTGTTATATATTAAACAGAGTGAACATGCTACAAAGTGAAAATCGATGATTTCAAATGGGCTTTGGGGTGCAAAATTGAATGACATGTTATTCTTTGGATTTAGGTGTTCAAAGCCTGTCCTCTAGAAAAAGAGAAATATTAATGTATCATCATACGTTACATATTCACTCTGGAAATTGCTGATTGTTTTTGCAGTGGAATTGATCTTACATAATTGCCACATAAAGTGAAACAAAAATGGCTGAGCAAGCACCAAAGTAATTTTATTTTCGACAAAGTTTGGAAAAAATAGGCTTATCACTACCCTGTATTTCATTCTTGCCCGAGTAAAGATCAAAGTAAAGTAAACAATAAGGAATTAATAAGAATTGTACCTCTTCTTCAATGAGGTAGGGTTCGGAGGAATTTCCCTGGTTAGGAACAATCCACACATGGCAACAGCACACCCTTGTCGGAGGAATTTCCCTTATTAGTAACAATCAGGTAGGGTCAAAATTCTGATACGGAGTAACAAAGCTACTGGCTATAAAAAATGAAGATCTACTCCATATTTGATACCGGAGGGCTTATGATGTAAAATAAGAATGTTCTATATAGAATTGGAATATATATGCAGTAGGAACATATACAATCTGTATAATGAATAAAAACCCAATAAAAATGTGAAGCTAACAATATTCAAAGAAGAGCCGTCATATTTATGTTAATGCACACGAAAACGAATATATAAACTGGGGGAATATTCAACAAAACAACACGACAAAACTCAATTTACTTTGTTACAATCTACGTACAAAGATTTTATAAAAGAAGGAATCCTAGAAGGGTATGAAGGTTTGATGAAGAAGAGAATGGAAGGGACCATAAATTTATTCATGTAAGGGGGGGAATTGAAAGAGGGAAGTGAAAATTGAAAGTCAGTGAATAGGATGAAATAAGAGAAGATCGTAGAGAGGATAGATGGGACCAAACAAAAATAAACAGGAACAATTATGTGGAACAAAGAGATGTGTTCTCAATGCAATAGGCTGGAAACAAGGTAGTCAAAATTGCGATTCTACTCGTAGGATCGTATGAGTTTACGCGTCAATACTCAATCAGCGATCCCGTTCCTAGAGAAAATCGTAAAATATGTGGGAACGGCTGAATCGTCGAGTAAGATCGTAAACGCGTAAACTCGCATAGGATCGGCGATCCGTTTGCACTGGTTGAAGAAAAACGAAAAAAAATCCAGGCCACCCGAAACGTCAACAGAGAGGGTGCGAACCATCTGGAATCGATAGAAAACGTTCGAAAATTTTAAAAGAGATGTCTATCGCTTCAAATTGCGTGCAAAAGCATCTATAAATTAAGTGTTCAGCAATGGTTCAATCATTCAAGCATCACCTTCTTCCAATCCCTTGCTCTGTACTTCTCTGCAACCAAACTCTTCACGGCTAACTCCACTCTCAGGTCCGACTGGGTCAATCAGCGACCTCCACGGCTCCAGCTCTTTGTGGAAGACTCGAAGGCAGGCGGTAGCAATCTATCTCCCAGTTCTGCGTGGTCAACGAAAAGTGCGAGTGTTCACTCTGCTGAAGAAGAAGACTCGAACGTTTCTTTGTCTTATTTCGTTTCTCAACTCTCAAGCGCAGGTGAGTTAGTATATAATCATATAAATTAATTATATATATTTAATACTTTAATTTATGTACTAGTATTTTTTCTTTCTTAAATTACTATATAATACACATTATTATAATTTATTTAAGAACATATTACTTTAAATTGTTATTATTATTATATCTGCTAGGTAGTTAGGTGTTACGGAGTATAATTTATTTAAGAACATATAAACTTAGTAGTTTCTGTTATTATTAAGTAAAAAAATACAGTTAGATTATTTTATTAGGATTTAGGAACAGATTAATTTAAATTATTATTTTTGTATCTGTTAGGTCATTTAGGTGTTAGAAACTTATAAGGTATAATACAACTTACTGTTATTATTTTATTATTATTTTATTAAAAGGTAGATTGTTTTTTGTTTGTTTATTATAAATATAAAATTTTATTACATTTTACATTTAATATATAAAGACTTCATTACATATTCTGAATCATTTTCTACTCTTATAATAGGTTAATTTAAAATAACAGTTTACTCATTTATTTTCTACTATTTGTATTATATTTCTATTATAATTATAATAATATTTCTCCATTCATCCTTATATGTGTTGTGGTGCATTATGTCATCCATACCTACTTCGGCAGCCGCTATGAGTTCCAAAGTTGTGGCAAAAAATGCCCCCGGCCAAAGTATATTGTTATAAACATCTACTTTGATCATTATTTATCAATTATATTTATTTTCTAACTATATGTATACATATGTACATATATATACACATATATATGTGTGTATGTATATGTAAGTATATAATTTGTAGGATCTTACGATCCGAGTCACGATCCTACGATTTACGATCCTTATTCCAAATTCCGATCCTGCGTAGGATCTCGAGTTTGACTACCTTGGCTGGAAAGTGTATTGCTCAATCTAAACTTATATGAAGTTAGAAGATATAGCCACCTCTAGAGACTCTCAAAAGCTCTTGATTATCTCGATAAATGAAGGGGAAACAAATTTAGAGCAAGAATTAGCAAATATGAAAGGGAGTCCATATAGTTGAATATGAAGATAACAGTAAAACTAAAAAAGTTAAATACTCTCTCCGTCCCATTTAAAGGTTCCCGTGACAAAATAACACGATTATTAAGACAATAATCAAATATGCTAATTCGAATATATTTTGAGAAATAATTTTGATGAGTATAAAATATAATGGGTTGTTGATGATAACAGTGATTTTATAAATATTGTTTTTTAGTATTTGATGATTAAATTGTCATTTAAGAGTGTTAATTGTTTCCTAAAAGTAAGAACCTTTAAGTGGGACGTCCAAAAAAGGAAAGTGGGAACCTTTAAATGGAACGGAGAGAGTAACTGTTTAAAGGTTAAATCACAGCCCAGGAAGATAACAATGAAAGGAAAAAATAACTAAAAATTTAAAGGAATGGTCACTTTCAGTTTATATTGTAAACTGAAAGTTATAACTGTTCAATATAAACTGAAAGTTATATTTTAACTGAAATTTTGAGAATTATTGAAAAGAAGCCCTGATTACTCCAGGCTCCCCCAGCCCCCCTCCCCAGACCCCCCTAGAGTAAAAAACAAAACTATTGTAGTGACATTAATAGCATGAAATTTTATTTTCATGCACATAAATGTATATTATAATTTAAGCAAAACACTATATACTTTTAGGCTTATGTGGCATACGGTTGGAGCCTTATGTCTTGGTTCAAATAAATAAAATGCATATAAGGTTACATGATCTTTTTTAGACTTTGAGCCTCTGAGGTAAAGTGGAGCAAGTAAAAATTAAAGGCATATCAAGCAAGGAGCACGGTAGGTCTATGTTTAAAAGTATTGCGATTCACTATTCTCATTAGGTTTAGGTTTCCCATTTGTGTATGTTAAGTCCATTTTATGCTATATAAAGATTGCAATATTTTGCAGAAGCAAAAAAGTTACAATATCAGGCACATCACAGTGGCTAAAATGAGAGGAGAAAACAGAAATACGGCACAACTCTCCCTTTCAGTGAATTGCACATTGAGGTATACAACTTAGAAGCCATCTTTTCGTCCTCCCAGATTCATAACGCTGAAAACATATAAAAAATAATCAATCACAAGCTAAGCTAACAAAAGAGGCAGCACACTGATAAAGCAATGTTGAAAACAGAGTATGAAACTGCCCTTTGCATTGAGCAATTACTCCCGCTCTTCTTATGTGTCATTTTATGATTTAAAGGTGAAAAAGTGAAACTAACTGTCCTCGATTTTCTTATTTCTTTAAGATACTTTATAATATTAGCTTATACTTAAATAATTAATAAAATAACTCCCTATTTTATGCTCAATACTAAGCACGTGAAATGGGTAATGAGGGGCTATTAAAGACAATTGAATTTTTATAACTGACAATACAATGATAGATACCTCAATGAGCACAAGTAATAATCGTCTTTCAATTCCTATCATGAGAGTGTAAGTGTTATATTAATAACCAGAATCTTTGCACGGCCATTTAGGCACCAAACCTAATACCAGGCTGCATTATTAGTTCTCCGTATCCTCTCAAAATTCAAGGCTCCCCTTTAGCTATCCCTAGTATACAATAACAAATAGATAACACAAACCCCTATTCCCCCCGCTTCTAGCAAAAGGGCTACTTCCTCATTTATTGAGTCACTTTTGTATGCACTCTTGCCTTGTTTTTTGAGCAAAGACCACAAGCGAGCGTACAAACAACACAACAACAACCCCAATCAAGCTTTACTCCCAAAAGAGTTTGGGATCGGCTAACACGAATCGACATATGATCTCAGAGGAAACAACAATAAATAGAGAAAGATGGAAATTAACACACACACATTCAACATTCTATATCACACTTGGTCATACCTGCAATTTTTCCTCTTCCCTCCTCGAGGCGGGTACTGACCCAGATGGTCAATAATCAAATTTGGACTCGAATGAATGAGTCTCATAACCTTGAATAAGCCGAGTGATACGTGTCGAATCGGGTCTGTCCTGAGAAGCTAAGAATACCTATAGATAACATTTGGTATAATGGTATTAGAATCTCTACGACATTAGTAGTAAAATTCTATGTTTTTACTTCATATATTCTTCAAATAGTCACAATAATATATAAGAACAATTGATATGAAGTCAGGCTCACATATAACCTTAGGTCTCTGTTTCCACTCTTATACATTTATTATATGATCTTATAAGATATGAAGAATATATATATATATATATATATATATATATATATATATATATATATATATATATATATATATATATATATATATATATATATATATATATATATAAGATAGTGTATATATTATGTATAATCTGCTTTCTCTCATTGCTGTGAAGTGTACATTTGCAACAATCCACTTTGTCCATAAATAACAACTCTAAAAGAGTGAAGACATCACCATTCACAATATAATTTGGTCAAAACAGACCTGTAGTAGCGACCAAAATAGTATTTAGGGCATATATGTCAAGTTCCTGTAGGCACAAAATCTTGTTTGAGGGTAGCATACATGTGTTTACATCTATTTTCCAGTTATGCCTATCTGTGTTATCCCACATTTGTATTTAGGGCATAAGTTCCTTCATAAGCCCTTGTTGGAGGGATGTCCTTTTTTTTTATTAACCCTATTCACTATATAAGCTCTTGTTCCACTTTAATAATGTTCCAAATTAGACCTGTAGTGGTGCCCATAGTAGTATTTAGGACATACGTCAAGTTTCTGTAGGCAGATAGCTCTTTTTCTAGGACATACGCTTATTTTTTTCATTTATACCAATCTGAGTTATCCCACAGTAGTATTTAGGGCATGAGCATTTTTTTCAGGTATGCCCACAGTAGTATTTAACTTGTTCTTGTAAAACTGGGAATTCAACTCTTAAGGTCCTATATATAACTTATGCTGCCACATAAGATGATCTGGGGAGTGGTTTTACCTATTTTTTCTTAAAAAGCAATAGAAGATCATCGTCTACGGATGTCATCATAGTATGCGGTTTAAGTGTCACTGCTAAATGGACCTCACTATGAGATGGTTTATGTTTGACCGTGGCAGAACGGTTATCTGTGTCAAACTGTCAACTTCAATTGGTTCTTAATGTGAATATTGTATTTCAGTCACCAGAAGGATGATTTCATAGCTACTGAATCTTATGCCATTTTCTCTAGCTACACAAAGGTTGGATTTAAATAGGAAGTTTTTTACTTTCCTGCTAATCATGTTCACAGTTCTCTACCCTGACCCTCATGTATAGAGGCACTCTGTTAGCAATTTCTTGTGGCTGAACTGCAGGCATGAATATTTAGTCGAGCAAAGTGGAAAAAATATAATTTGTAAGAGTTAAGGCAGCTTCAATCGAAGAAAAACAGTGAATAGAACTTAGAAGCACCTACTTATGTTCCACAAAACACAATCAATACTAATATTCAGTTAGTGAGTATTCAAAGTTGAAGAAAAACAGACAATGAACAAATGGAATGGATAAAAGGCTTATCGTAGAAGAGTGGTGAGTAGGGGAAGGGAACATCCGCCAAGCGAAGAAAACATATTTACAGAGTAAACAGGGGGCGGGGGCATTCGAGCTTGACAGAACCGCTTCAATTTCCCCAAATTGGGCTTCACAAGAGTTGGAAAGGACCAAGCTAGGTTACGACCACGCTTCAATTGCACATCCAGTGATAGCATAAAAACAAATGAAATTAATGACTCACATGATCAGGATTCAGGAGAAGGTAAAGGAAATCACGCGGGTGAAGAAGGTTGGTCGCGGGCTTGCCTCTGAGTGGTACGAAGTGCATTCTTAGCGCCTCACAATCCGTCGAATGTGATGGTATGTGTAGGAGGGAGACGGGTGAGACTGAGGGCTAAGGGAAGGATTATTAGGGAGGAATCAACTAAGTTTAACGGGGAAGCCTTCAAAGGACGGAGATAGACGGACTGGTAGTGTCGCAAACTGGTTCGTGCAGGGATCCGGAAAGACCGTAAACTGGAGTAAAACGGTGATCAAGTTTAGTTAGAAAGAGCACAAGGCGAAAAGCATAGTGTACAAGTTCTTATAGCTGTATGTTACACCAACACATTTTTGATACCTAAAAGGCCCTAACCCTCATTCACCATTATAAGATTTTAAGATGTTGGTCTTTAGACGTACTAATAGTCTAACACCATTAGTATACTGTACTGTAAGTTAAGATACTTATTCTAAGTTTTAGTAAATACAATAATAAATGTAAAATATATTATTGTTGTTATTGTAGTATAAATTATGTACGGAGTATAGAAAGTTTCGATTTAACTGAAAAATGCTTATATGATATTTTAAAGATTTTATAAAAAAAATATATTTATTTACACATTTTTTAAAAACCAAATCAAATAACATTATTGCTATAAGTGGGACTAATTATGCTTTAGGATATTTTATGAGTGTGCTTTCAATGATTACTAGTATTAAAATTAGATTATTACCTTTTATTTTAATTCTATATATTAAATATTCATATTATAATATATATAATGACTAATAAATATTGACCGGGTTTTCCGGGCGTTGACCGGACTGACCCGTGACCCGGTCATCCGTCCTGTCCGGTCCGGTTCTTGTAACAGAGCCCGCCTTACAGGGGAACAAAGTACCGGATGGAGGCAATAGAAGTTTTAACCCCATGATATTAAGCGAATGTGTCTCATCTCACTATATCCCCTTCTTGTGTCGGTCTCCTCAGCCATCCCTATCGTGCGTAAGTTCGTTCTTCCATTGAAAATAAAAAAACTCCTTAATTTTGATTATCGCTGGTCAAGCGCCTCTCGCGATGCGTAAATTCCTTTGAATTAGCATAGCTTATTATATATATGTGTGCGCGCGCCTTTTTCTTTAATCACAATCGTATACTTCAATACTGAATTTTGTGTTGCGATTTACATATTGACTACTTAGGGAGTTTGATTTATTCCATTCATGGTATCACATCGTATTTAGTGTGAGCTAATTGCGGGTGTTTTCTTTTTTCACCTTCTCTTCAATTTCGGGGTCTTGGGTTTTCAATTATTTCATGGTCTGTGTTTAGAGAGAGGACGTACAAATTGGGGGGAAATCAACCCCTGCATCAGCTATTAACTTGATTCTTGGTCCTTAGGGTACGATGGAACTATCAAATGTTGTTATATTGTGAAAAGAAATTGTTGCTTTTTAATTTGTATACTGAATAATTATCTCGATTTAGCCTTTTCATATAAAGAAGACTAGGAGACAGATATAATAATATCAATAGCAATAATAATAGTAGTAATGATAATGATGATGATTATTTTTTCCTTTGCATCTTGAATCAAGATTATAGTACTGCCTCTGTCCCAAAAAAAATCTTTCCCACTTACCTTTATAGAATGATTTGTGTGACTAATATTCATTTACCTTTTGTGGGACGGAGGGAGTAACATATATTGGGGTAAAAACTTGTAATATCTTGAGATTGTCTGTATATTTTGGAGTTTTGCCTTTGGCTCTACATTTTTGTGTCTATAGTGCTCTTTGTTTGTTTACATGTTATGGTGTTTTCGCTACCACATCCCTAATACTGTGACAGTTGACAAAGTAATGACATTTTTTCAAATTTGAATTAGCATACGTTTTGGGTTCGACATTTGATCTTGTTTTTAAATTATGAGAAATATCACTGATCTTGTTTTGCCTTAGTCTTTTGGGACTAAGGCTTGGATGTTGTTGTATCACTGATTAACATTTACTTATCTAGAGGTATGAATGCCTTTATGGGTATAATGTCTTAATAATGCTATACACTTCTTTTCCTGGTATTAATATTTGGTTTTACTGATCTATTTCAGGACACGGTGTTGTTCAAATTAAATTCTGAAGCTATTGAACAAGGATAGGTAAGGACTTCGACTACATATGGACATACGTACTACATAGATAAGCGTGGTATTGTTGTATTTTTATTTCTTTTATGTGGTTTCTTGTGGGTCTACTTTTTGCTTATTACAAGAGACTAAGAGAGGCCTAACTTTTTAAATGGTTTGTCTTGATGTGATTATCCTTGCTTGCACATTTCTTGTTTATTGTATAGTGAATTTGTAATGCCAAGGAATCTTTTTTGATTTTTTCTCCTACCATTCAAACATTGTTTCTTTCTAAACACAGAAAACTCTGGTCAGTTTAATGTTCCTCTTACAATGTGGCGGTGCCTCTTTGTAGTTGGGATTTGTGATTTCTCAATGAGAATAGGGTATATAGTGCATATTTGGTCATAATTGCATGTGATTTGATCACCTTGACATTTTTTTTGCATCCCAATCTCTAGAGATACTCTTGGTTGCAAGAATGGAGCCCGGGAAAAAGCCAGGGAAACTTCTTTCTTCTGCAAACAGTATTCTTTACATGGATCTTAAGGATATCATCAGAGAACATGCCCTGCCTTTCCTTCCAGCTATATCACTACTCAGATTCCGGGCGGTTTGTCGAGACTGGAAGCTCCATATTTCGGCGCCATTTTTTCACCATACTCAGTCACTCTGTTGCCGTGCAATATCAGGTCTATTCTGTCAGACTCCTGAAAATCCTCCTGTCTTCATACCTATCCACCTAAACTGTTCGGGTGTTCCAGACCCATCCCTGAGTTTTCTGCCGGAGCCTGTTGACCTTAAGGCCTCATCAAATGGACTTCTTTGTTGCCAAGGACGAAGCGGAAATAAGCCCTACTACATGTGCAATCCAGCTACAAAACAATGGCACAAACTTCCAGAACCAACTGCTTGTCATGGACCTGATTCAGCACTTGTAGTTGCATTTGAACCATCACTGCTCAACTTTGTACCTGAGTACAAGCTCATCTGTGCCTTCCGATCTGCAGATTTTGATGATGCAGCCGAGTTTGAAATATACACCTCCAGAAACAACTCGTGGAGTGTTTCTGGGGAGATTCGTTTTGGAGTTAAACGATTTACCCCTAGGTCTGGGATTCATGTCAATGGGGTTGTTTACTGGAACATGGCTGGTGGTGGCATTCTTTCTTTTGATCTAGCAAAAGACAGGTCACAACTTCTTGAAAAGCATTATTACAGTAATGACTGTGCTCTGGGAACATTTGATGGAAAGCTATGTAAGACTTCTCTCCGTGGACTTTCGGTGTGTATTAGTGCTTTGGTTAATGTGCACACAAATACCATGGAAATGAATTCCATAACAAAAATGTGGGAGCCTGTACAGAATGTTTCTCTCCAAAGCAATGTGCTTGATGGGGATCATAACCGCTGCAAAATTGAAATTCTAAGCAGTGATGTTCTGGTCATTAAGTGTGGGAGAAAGTTGTATTCCTATGATTTCAAGTCCAAAGAAACTAAAGCTCTGAACCAGCCAGGTGCAGAAACATATGATGCTACTATATGTGTGCCATACGTGAATAGCCTCGCGTCACTTTGATCCTTCTTGAAGTTAATACCAATGTAGTTTCCTGTGACTGAAGGTGCTGGTTTGAATATAACATTCATAAGTCGAGACTCGTGTAATGTTCTTCTATCCATGTGCTATTTCTTACTTATCCGGTATGTGTTGCATAGTCTGTTAGCTTTTGATCCCGTGAAAGGCTTTTTATGCCCATCTCATACTGCTTGTTAAAAGTTGTCGGTTTTGCTGACAGCTTTTTAGGTATTGTTTCTGTAGGGTAGTCAATTAAGTTTGAATGCTTCTTGTGTATTACGAAATAGTACTTTTCTACCGCTTGTTTTGGTCATTTGGTGCCTCATTTTTTATACTGTGTCATCTGCCAACGTTGCTTTTTTTTTTTTAATACCAAATGCGGGTGGGTGTGCTGTGTGCAAGTATAGATAAATGTATAACAGAAAGGAGTCCACTGCTCGATTTACTTTGATCTGTATGGTAGCTAAAGAACTAGGTTTACTTTGGTATGCTCCCATAGTCCCATAGAATAAGAAAATACTCATAATTTGTTCATTATTTACCACTACATCCAAATGAACAACCTTTATTTTCAGGGGCGGACATACCTTCTATATAATCTGATTTTTTTACTTTTAATGTAGGAGTTATATTTCATTTCAAATTTCAATAATAAAAAAAACTTACATGCCCCTGATGAAAAATATAGATGCCCCCATTCACTTTTATTATCTGTACAGGAAGAAATGGTGATGATTAATTTAAAACATTGTAAGTAGTAGACTGGGCTCTTTCGTTAACATGTATGCTCACTTTCTCTGTATAGAGAAATATCGAGCATATCCAAGTTACAATTTCTATAGGCAAAAGTGATTAGTATGATAAGTTGTATATTCACTTGCTTTTTTGGTAGTAGTTAGTTGATTTAATCGTTATATTTAAAATGTAAGCAGTTGGCTAGACTTTGTTATAACTTACGTAGTAAACAACGGGGTTTGTCCATAAATAATACATAAACAAATACTTTGGACAAATATAGGACCACTTTTAAAAAGTTCCAAAAATGTGACTAATCACCTACTATATTGACCATGACCAATCTAACCAGTGACTAATTTGGCTAGTGACCAACCCGACCAGTGACCAATCTAACCAATGACCATGACCAATTCATCCAGTGACCAATCCGATCAATGACTGCGACCAATCTGATCGGTGACCAATCCGACCACTGACTAATTCTACCGTGATCAACCCGACCATGACCAAACCGACAGTGACCAATTCAATCAGTGACCAACCCAAATGACCATGACCAATTCAACCATTAACCAACGCCAAACTGCCGCCCCGACCACCGCCCAGCCCCTCCCATTCCCGGCAGCCCCTTCCCCGGCCCTTCCCTTCCCGGCCGGCCTCTTCCCAGCCCCTTGCTAGCCCCTTCCCATTCCCGGCAGCCCCTTTCTAGCCCCCTCCCATTCCCGGCAGCCCTCTTCCAATCTCCTTCACATTCCCAGCCATCCTCCCTTCTCAGCCCCCTCCTAAATAGCTCGAATTCCTCTAGAAATTTCAGATCTGAGTACCCCAAAGTCAATGGTGGATTTGCTCAGGCCCAAGGTAGAGGACAAATTTGCTCCATCCTCCAAAGTCGTCGTTGAGTACTGGATTTGGCTCAATAACCGAAGCTCGTCGTTGGATGGATGAAGGTCGGAGATGGAAAGCGAAGCTCAAACCACCGCTGCGAGTGTCGGCGTTCGCTGGCCGTCGATGATAAAGGACAGGGGCGTACACACGGGCTGGAGGCAGGCGTGCCAGTGTTCCGTCCGTTAAGCTCTGTCGCAGATGGCTTCCTGGTTGGAACTTCTCCTTCATCTCTGTCGCGCAAAATGGAAGAGAACGGAACGATGCTACGGAAGAGCTTTGGTCTCTTTTTTGTCTTTCAAAAAAACAGTCCTATTTTTGTACAGCCCAAAGTCTCAACTCCTATTTTTGACATTATTTCGTAACCGTTTTCTTTTAATTAATTTTGTATTCATTAATTTAATTGAACTATAAAACCTTTAAGTTTGAAATAATTTTTTTTACAACAAATTAGAACCCTCGTTCCAAATATAAGATCTATTATATACTCCCTCCGTTCTTTAATAATTCTCTTATTCCATTTTGATTTTTTTATTTATTGTCCTTTCCATTTTAGGAAATTTTTTGAGATAATTACCCAACTTTTATTACTTTTATCCCTTTACTTTTTACATACTTTTTTCTCTTTCCTACATTATCATTACTTTACTTTTCTTAACATACTAACTTTCTTACTTTGTCATCAATTTACTCTTCTTCCCTCTTTCCTAGTTTTTCAATTCAATATACCATCCATAACATAAAGATGTTTCAATTTTAAAAGTAGATCGATTAAGAATAGTGAAAGAGGAAATAAATTATTGAGGGTATGATGAAAAGAAAGTGGAATAATGTGATGGAATGAATGATCAATTCAAAAAAGTAATCGTAATAGTGTACTATTTTCAAAATTATTGATTGTACGACAGAAAGTATTGGGAATGGAAAGATCTTTTCGTTACGTACAAAAAAGAAAAGTATGAAGATCTTTTTGTATCAGAGGGAGTATATTACAACAGTTTATTTGAAAGGTTTGTCAATCTATATTTATGATGAGGTATAGGTATGTTATATGATCCGTGTTTTGTAAATTGTATCGCTTCACGCTTGAGAGGCTAGCTTTAGGGGTGTGTATCGGTTCAAAATCGGACCAGGCCGGAACTAGAACCAGTATTGTAAACAAAAAATAGAAATCCGAAACCGGACCGAGTATGTTACATATTTTAACCAGAACCGAGCCGGTTTAACCGGTTCAAAATCCTAACCGAACAGAAAAAATAGGATTCTAAATTATTAACTTCTTAAAAATACTACTTATAAATCTAATATGTTTGTAAATATGGAGTCTTTGGTATTAATAATGTTAATAGTTTACTATTTTTTTACGTACTTACTTTTATTAGTTTTAAAAAGAAAAAATTGGAGTAATTTGAGTGCCAAAAAATGAATCTTAGTTACTTCTATTATCAAGACAATAAGAAAAAATGAATGAATATAACACTAATATAACATGTTCTACCTCTGTCCCAAAAGACTTTGCTATTGTCAAAACATTGATCAATTATATCTTGTAAATTATTTATAATATAAAAATTATATGAAAATGTTCTTTATTAAAAGTATTTTCATAAAAGTATAAATTTTGAAACTTCCATAAAATTATACAAGTCAAAATCATGGTTTAAATTTTATGAAATGACAAAGTTTTTTGGAACGTAGGTAGTAGTATATATTATAATAATTTTTATTTGGGAAAAAAAATAATCAAATACCCCAAACTTTGAAGGGGCATGAAGTTAATACCTCAAACTTGCATATATAATTTAAATACCTCAAACTTTGCATCAAAAGTTTTTCTTTAGCACCATGGTTATATATTATTTCTTTCAAAAATGTAAACTTGTGGTGCTAATTGCATAATTTAATATAATTTAGCACACATAAAGATATAATTAACATTCTAAACTTTCATTGTGAATAAATCATATTACATACTCTTAGTCCATATAATTGTAATGCTTAGTAATTGAAATAAAAACATTTTAAATTATGCCATTAATACAGTAATTTTACATATTTGAAAACACAACATATGACCATGGTGCGTTTTTTTATGTAAAGTTTGGGGTATTTAAATTACACATGCAAATTTGGGGGTTTTACCCTCACAATTTTTTAAAGTTTGGAGTATTTAATTTTTTTTCCTTTTTATTTAGATTGTTATAATTACAATTTTTTTTATTCCTCCCGTCCCACCAAGATTGTCCCGTTTTTCCTTTTCGGAAATCTCATTACAATCGTCTCATACAAAAGAGTAAAATGCATAAATGATCCTTGAACTATCATCATGGTATCGTTTTGGTCCTTGAACTGTTAAATCTATCCTTTTAGCCCTTAATCTATTTCATCTTTATTAATTGAGTCCTTTCGTTAAAATTTGCCGTTAACTTTGACGGTAGCTAATATAGTTTTTTTTAAATATACATATATGTACACATACACATATAAAAATTATAAGTAAATAATATAAAATCAAATGTATGGCCTAAAAAATATATAAGAGCGAATCAAATAACTCAATTATACACATATGAGCAGAAAATTATTATTATTAATTAATAATTTGATTGTTATTATTATTAAATAAATTAAGAAAAAATTATTTTAGGTATGACTAAAACTCATTCACTTTTCCGATACATGACCTCATTAGTTTTTTTTTCAAAACAATATAATACTCCATATTTAAATTCATAATATTTAATAAATAAATAAATAAAATAAATAAATTTTATGGACCAATTTTCCCTTACATTTTTAGGAAAATGGAAACTAATAATCCAACCTTTTAGCGATTTTCTTACAATAGTCCCACTTTTTCGTTATTCATGAATAATTCAACTTTTGCACCTCATCTTCATTCACTAGTCTCTGACCGATTGATGACCTGTTATTCTAAGTTATTTTCTTATCTTTGCAAACCATTATACTATAAATCTCACCTTTCACAAAGATAATATTTTGCAAAGATAAGAAAATAACTTGGAATAGCAGGTCATTAATCGGTCATGGACCAGCGAATGAAGATGGGGTGCAAAGGTTGGATTATTCTTGAATAACGAAAATGTGGACTATTGTAAGAATACTGCTAAAAGGTTGGATTATTAGTTTCCATTTTCCCTACATTTTTTACCAAAATATACTCTTAGATTGATATTATAAAATTCTAGCTCCCTACTCATTTTCTAAAAATCTTAGCCATTAACCCGCCGCCCCGTCTTCGGAGATACCCCCTGCCCCATCGCCGCGGTACACGCCTCCCTCGTCGCCACGGCCATCCACATGCGTTGTTCCCGTCTTCATAGAGTAAAAATGATTTTTTTGTTTTGTTGAAATATTATTGAATTAATCATCTTCCAACTATTCCTGATTAGGAATTATTATCACCATTATATAAATAATCAGGAAATCATAATTATGATTCTAGATGATAATTTTGTGGTACACAATTATCTTCTAATCCTAAGGAGTTTAGTTATTCTCCTATAAATAGGAGTGTTCTCCTTCATTGTAAAGACACTTCTTAAACACCATCACAACATCTCTAATACACCTTTATCACTAAGTGTTCATACTATACTTTCTCTCTCTGATCTTCTGTTCAGTGGCGGAACTAGGGGCGAGCCGGTGCCGCCGCCCCCCCGTTCGGCGGCGGTGGTAGTGTATATATATGTATGTATATGTCTTAGCCCTGGCTAGGAGATAATATAAATTTAGTCCACGGTGGATAACTTTGTACAG